TCTACACAACATTTAGGCTGATAACACTTTCCTTACTTAGCTTGTGGGAAAGATTTTTGCTTTTCAAACGTCACTCGTTCAAAGTTTACAACCTTATCATACCAATGTCGAATTACATCAACAATGTCGATTCATTTCTTACAGCACAACAATCGATTTGCAGCAGGATACTACATAATAACGTGGTGCAACCGAAGAATAACCAATATTAGTGTTATGGGACAATTGAAGTACCACATCGAAAATACAAGGAAAGGAACCCTCGTATATTAGTGTCCACCAAGCTCATTATTACGAGGCCTTTTGGGGTGGACACCCAAGAGTAAAACCGTGCGGGCTTGGCCCAAAGCGGACAATATCGTACTAATGGGTTGCCCGATTCGACAAGTGGTATCAGAGGCTGGTTTGGTCTAGGGCGGTGGACGTAAGTTTGGTGGGACCCTCATTTGGTGACCTCGAGATTTGAGATCTGCATTTGTGTGGTGGGTCAAAGGTGACTCGCGTCTGTTTGGTGGATCTAGGAGAGATCCACGTCTAATTGGGCTTGGCGGATCAAAGAGAGTTCCGCATTTTTTTGGGCTTGGCGGATCAAAGAGAGTTCCGCATTTGGGAAGCAGATCAAAGAGAGTTCTGCGTCTAGGAAAGTCCTTGTACCGAGAAGTCCATCGATACAAGGCGTCTGGCGGATCAAGATTATCGCTTAGGTGAGGACACGAAATTCGTGGTCCTTGTCTTGAGGGGAGGATTGTTGTGGGTGGGTAAAAATTAGGTGTCCTCACCAAAAGGCCTTGTACACCCAATTTCAGAGTCATGTTGCTTATCTTCATTCGCACACACCTAAAGAAGCGACAGTTCTTCTTCGCGTCCTGCACCATACGATCATTCAACTTATTGCACACATCAATGACAATTGCAAAAGCCATCTCTAAACACCTTACAATCCAAAATGGACACCCATAGAACTGTCTGCCTGGGTTCGCTTCTGTTCCAGATGTATTGACCACACATGACTTCTTGTGCCAACAAAGTACCGCCCCTAGGGTATTGATGCTAGTCGAAGTTAAGAAAAATGCTCGCTTTGATGTGGCTGTACCTTCGCGTGAAGTTCTGGGTAGGATAAATTCCCGATTTCGGGGTCGCGAATCGGCAGAGAAGGTGGGATTTGGGGAAGAGGAAATGCAGGAAGAAGTAATCGCCGAACCGTTCAGAAAGTAGAAGAAGATTGGTGGGTAATGGGGAGGAGTAATAGACGAATCGATCAGAATGTGGAAGATGATTCGTGGGGAAGAGGAAATTTGGGAAGATCCCTAATTTTGTTTCCAGCCAAGAGTTGGGGAAGAAAGAAGCTCGTGCGAATCGGTTAGGTGGGAATATAAGGGTTAATTTTTTAGATTGAATTTAAATTTTTTCTAAAATAATAAATAAATTATTAAGCTGACGTATCACTCTTTGCTAAGTTGTCGCTGGCGTGTCCGCTGAATTGGCGCCTAGTCAACTGGCCGTCAAATAAGTTCACGGTGTTATTAACACCGTTAAAGTTTCTAACAGAAATGGCCATATCTGGCATGCAACATCTTTCAAAAGTTGCTATTAGTGGTATTTCGCCAAAATTGGCTATAAGTGGCACAAACGTGATAGTTTTGGCTATACAAGTGTATTTTGATAATGGAAACCCTTTGTATAAGTAATGCGTATATTTTGGAGATGAAATAGAAAGGTGAGAGTACAAAATTAAACCCACGAGGAATTTCAATAACCAAAGTTTTCATTGTGCTACAGATAATGCAAAGTGAACCTCCCTCCTCGAAGGTAGCCTTTATAGGTTTTCAATATTCTACATAAGCAAATATATACTTCAACGAGGCATCAATTTTTGGAACATGTCTGAAGTTATAATGGGGTATTTGCATTAACTTCTATTGGAGGTAATCTGGACAGATCTATAAATTATAGAGGAGATGTATAAGTTTATTCGATTGGAGATGAAGTAGATCATCAGATCAGTAGCATGTTAAATTGAAGAGAAGATACCAAAATTTTCTCAACTCTACCTCTATGACACTGCAATGAACTCCAAAACTGATTAGATTTTTCTCAATAGGTCCAATTTCAAATCCCTTTGCATGATTCAACTATTCAACAATTTTAGGAAATGTTAGCTCAAGTAATATCTTAGTAAAGACATTTCGATGTGCAATTGACAGATTGAATGACACTATTGTTCAGCAAGTTGAGTGACACTACTATTTGTCAAAAAAAAAAAAGTTGAAATTAAGTTGCTTGCTAAAAGAAAAGGGGATGGTAGAGAATATGATTTATCATCTGCATATGAGGTTATTATTTAATTGTTGATAATGCGGTGGAGCAAAAGTTTTCTCCTGGTAGATTGTCCATTATCAAATTCATGAACGAGAATAAATTAGTATATATCATCTAAGTTTAATGGCTTTGCAATATTTCATATACTTATTGTGAGGATGCAGATGGACTCAACAAGAAGAACATGACTTAATGTGATTTTTACAATTATAGACTTCAAACAAAATTGAATGAATCAAACACATTACAATTATGTGGAAAGTCGTAACAACATTGCAACCAAGGTATTTTGGATTCTGATTTGAGAGGTGATTTAGATACCAATATGAGTAGAAAACATATGATTTTAACTTCATGACATACAAATAGTCCTCTATATAAATATGTAAATGACAGTGAGAAGTAATTGAAGTGTGATATATGAATTGGTTCTTTGGAATGGGTTTGATTTTAACTTTCAATTGCGAATTTTGAGTTTTTCAATAATTTAATAGTGTGGGTTATTTTATATCATAAAAAAATATATCTGGCTTTGTATAATAGTTATTGTTATTTATTCTATTTACAAAATGTATTCGGCCAACGGACGGGCGTAAATCTAGTTAATTGTCTTTGAATAAAACTTGCTAATTGTTGCCATCTAATCAATATTGGATAGACCCCAATCAATGGCGACCGTTTGATATTTTATTTTTAATTATATAAATTGAGCTTTTGTGATTCTTCTTAAATTAAATTGATTTATTTTTTATTCTAATGTAAATCAATCTCGATATATTTTGAGCATGTTATTTCAAATGTGTTTTTACGATTAACACATATCTTCATAAATTTTTTTGAGAAAACAATGTGTTGAGTTATATATATGTACTAGAAAATTTGTGTCGCGCTATGCAACGGCTGGTTGGAGGGTAGAAAATAAAGCAAAATTTTAGTCATTACGTTTGCTTGATGGATTTGAATCAACTTTTGTGGATGTTGTTCAAACTCAATTGTTAGGTTCATATATTTTCTTTATCTTCTCATGTCAATTTCACTTCATATATACAAATTTAATTTAAAAAATTCATCATGAAATCTATGAAATAAAATGGTGTTTTCAAGTCCGCAATGAATCAAAATCCCTCATATCCATGGGGTTTCAAAACCCATATTTTATGAAAACCTTCATTTTTTCAATTCCATCAAGCAAACGACCTGTAAATTAGTATGATTCTATCCTTTAAATTTTATTTATTTATGATAAGAAAAGAGGTACAGATGTCCTCCGATTTTCTAATGATCTTTGTAGATAGAGTCTCTTGAAAAAGTAAAACAAACTTGAATTTCATGAATATATTTTGTTTTTTGAATTATAAAAAGTGTTCAAGATATGCTCTAAATTTAGTCATCTACTATTTATCTCATTTTTAAGAAATTTACCACCTTTCTAGTTAAGGTTGTCAACTTGCGAGTTGACCCGTTTTGATACTTATCCGATGAGAAAAATGGTTACAATGCACCACCGGGTCGACCAGCATCAAGGCTTTCGATTTGGAGGTAAGACGACGTCGTGTTTTCCTTTAATTTGCAAAATGTACTTTTCCGGTATTCCCCTTAGTTTTACCTTATCTTTGGAGTTAAGTTGAGCGTTCGAATATTGATGTTATATGAGTGTGTTTGAATTTTTACTATATGTTGGATCCAAATATGAACTATTATTTTGGTGTAATGTTATACATTATCACTCATATGTTATTGAGATTTTATATTATTTATAAATTTAGGCACAATATAGTGACTTTGTCATACACGCGAACTAAAATGATCGGATCATTAACCCTCAACACACTAACTCGATTGGGTCAATGGGTAAAACTAGGTAAACAACCTTGCATCTAGTCTATTCCTATCTTCTCTCTTTTCCCTTGGTTGCTTTCCATCAGACATCAGTTAGTTAAAAAGGACCGAGGTTAAGGCCAATTTAGAAGGTTTATATCATACAAAAGACCTCTTGTCTTAGTGAACAGTAACCAAGGTTTTAGTTTATATATATTAACTTGGGATCGGCCCATGTCTCCCATATGCTAGGCTCGTGGGTATGGGATAGTTAGGGTTGCCCGAGTTCCTCGGTTGTGAAACTCTAGCTTGTATATATATGCATATAATCAGATCTGTTGAAGCTAAGTTGAATAAAGGGATACAATAGCTTCAGTCGTGGACTAGTCTCGTTCATACTGGACGAGGAAACCTCATAATTATCTGTGTTGATCTTCGCTTCTGTTTCGATATTCTGTTATGATTAACATGGTATCAGAGTCTATGAATTCTGAACAGTGTACAACTCGTCTCAACTCCAAGAAATACGTGGTATGAAAGATTCGGTTTCGAACTCTCGTGGTTATCAACCTGCGGGTTGCCTTGCCGGTTGGCCCACTTTGACCCTGACCCAGTGAGATAAACAGGTCACATAAACCCACCGGGTCGACTGCTGCAAAGTACTGAGTTGGAGGTCATACAATGTCATTTTTCCTTTGGTTTGTGAAATGCACATATTTCCGGTTTCCTTTTTGTCTAACCCAATCTTTGAAATTCTAAGTTGAATAAGACTGTTTGTATAGTCCTTTTATATACTAGTGGAGGATTTAGTTCTTGTCAGTTCTTGAGCCTCTATAAATCTTTTGGAATTCTGTCAAAAAAATCTTATCCCGAGGTGTCTCAGCAAAATAAGTTGGTAGAATGCAAAAATTGTCATATGTTCTTGAAATCACTAGAGCTCTCTTGTGTTTCTGATCGCTGCTTTGGTCGAGCTTTAAATTTATAAAGTTGAAGCGCACTCAATAGTCAATCCTAACAAGGCCAAGTATAACCAAGCTAGGGATGTTGATGACTCGATATTTACACATGTTTTTGTCCATCATTCTTATACTGCTTGAGGCTCGGATCTAGGGTTTTAAGCCGATTTTACACAAGGTTGTTCTTGTTTATGACATTTCAGGTCCTAATGCGTGAATGAAGGTTTGAGAACGAGTTCGGAGTCGATTGGGCGGAGTAGGGACGAGCGATGGAGAGCAAACGAGTTGCACGGCCAGTCCGGGAAGATGCACGGCCGTTCATGGTGGCCGTGGAAGCGAAGATGCGCGGCCAGGGTGTGCTGGATCGTGCATGACTTATTTTCTGCTCGTGATGAATTCTGCGAGAAGCTGCACGACAAGGCTCTCGGATTGCACGGGCAGCCAAGGATGTTGTACGACCGTGCGGCCTGACCGTGTAATCGCGGATAGTTGCATTTTAACCCAATTTCGAGTTTTGGAGAGGAGAGCTAGGTTTTGGATCCCAAACACCCAAGAGACGAACCCTAGAGAGAGCAACTTGGGATCATTCTTGGAGCTATTTTGGAGGATTTCTTCACCATTGGAGCTTGGGAATCAAGCTTGGAGATGGAGATTGAAGATCTAGATCAGATTTCTGCATTCTCTTTCTTCTCTATGGAGTAACTTCCCTTCACTTAGGTTTTGAGGAACCCTATCCATGTTTGTTTGATTGAATGATTATATGAGTACTCTTACTTGATAATCTTGAGTTCATATTCAATCTATGCATGTTTTCATGATTCAATTCTGCTTTAGTCGAGATTATGGATTCTGCTCTGATCCTATGAGAGCGAATACCTGATTAAGTCAATAGAGCACCATAGATTGATAGTATTCGATTTATTGCTTTAGTTGAGGTTCGATTCACCGCTTTGTATCGATTGAGAATCTCATTCGATAGAGGGAACCTAGTTCACAACGCCTTGATCAGTTGTTCTAGAGAAGGATACGTCCCTCTAGGCAATTGACTCAAGAGGCGGGCATGAGTGAGGAGATGCAAGCTAATCTTATTAAAAAGATTGCATGGAGACTTGCTCTCCTATCCGTGCTAGAAAAAGAAGAGCAAGAACGGATGAGGAAAGAAGTTGTGGAGAATGATGGAGGTAAATCAGAGGAATTTCTTGATCTTTTCCAAGGGGAGGAATCAAATAATAAGGACAAAAGGGGATTTGAAGATGCAATAGGCGTTCAGACGGAGGATGAAGTTGAGGTGGAAGAGGCTTGCACCAGCCATGAGTTACAAGTGATATCTCCACCAAACTTCGAGAAGCTACTTGGAAAGGACCCATTTGCAGTGTCTCTTTGCCAGACCAAGGCCACATAGACATCGGTCCCTCTTGGTGGACGTGATGGTGGTCAGTCGATGCTGTCACATCTGGTTTGGGGAATGAGACAAGAGAGGAAGAAAAAAAGAGGTCTCGCAGGTGGAGACTTTATATTCATCAAGTAAATGAGCCTAAATCACCTGTCATACCAAATGCTCGTGACTTGAGACTCCGCCTCATCGACGAGAACCTCAAATTCAAGGAGGTTCTAGCATGGACCGAAACTTAAGAGCCATCGTCCGGTTCACGACGTGAAAGAAGCACTTGTTAGGAGGCAACCCAACTAGTCGGTTTGTACATTCTTTCCCTATTTCTCTTCGGTTGAGTCAGTTTGTCTTTTGATTTTAGAGTCAATAACTCAACCTTTGTGAGATTTTGTGAGGTGTTTGTGTTCCGACTGCTCTTTCTCTACTTTCTCCCATGGAATGCACCACCTGCCCCTTCACCATCATTCACACTTTATCTGGTAACTTCGTTCTACCCTCCATATCTATCCTCCATTAAGGACAATGTCGTGCTTAAGGGGGGGAGGGGGGATGTTCCATTATGTTTGCGTGTGAATGTTTGGTTGTCTGTGTGTGCTTGGAGCCTAGTCCACTGTCCAAATTATAAATTTGAGGGCTCCAAGTAGTGTTTTCTCTTGCATCGGCACATTGGCACCGGTTTGTTTTGTGATCTCTAATGATGGTTAGTATTTGATGCATGAATGGCTTGTTTGTGACTGAGATGACTATGATGATGACTAAGAACTACAGTAGAAGTGTGTAGGGTTTCAGTTTGACTTTTGTTTGCAAACCAACTTGTGACATGAATGGCTAACCCACCATCCTCGGTCTTCTATGAATCTAGTTTAGGAAACCAGAAGGAGAGATAGAGCATGTAGGCAGCATTGTGAGATTTGAGTCGTTCGTTTCTTTCTGTGTGATTAGATCCCTCTTACCATTATGTGTAGCATCACGTAACCACTAATGAGGATGACGGAGGCATAGGAATAGCCCACGACCAAATTGTCTGTCTTGGTGTGTCATATCCCGTAGTCATCCCCTTTGAGTTATGTGACTGTCTTCTTTGACTTTAGTATAGCACCCTTTGGTGACTTTGAAGAGGTTCCACAGAGTGATTTGTGCTTGATATCTCTATTGTCTTTGAAAATGAATGTAGGAGGATGTTCTTACAGGATTGAGCATATGCATGTAATCGGAAAATGTGGCAAGTTTGTGGCTCTAAAAAATGAAAGAAAAAGAAAAAAAATAATAATGAGAAAAGAGCCACCACAAAAGAAATGAAAAAAATGCTCATTAATCAGTGTATCTTAGCGGATTGGCTTTGAACACTCTGATAATTTTTACCTCCTACATTCTTGTGTTTGGAAATTGACTAATGTAGTGATAGCAGATATATGCAACCTATTTGATTAATGTTTTGATTGTGTTGTTTTGGTTTGGAACTGTGGATCCTGTGATTAAAATTACCACCACCTAAAAATCTTGTTCCCCATGTCCTAGACCCTAACCAGTGCATCTGAACCCGGTCAAATGCTCCTGCAAGTTAGTGGTAACATCAGCTTTGTGATCTCTAACCCTTAGAGGCTGCAATCATGGCGAAGAGACGGTAGGATTGAGAGAATGAATGTGCACATTTTTTGCACCACAATGTCCTGACCCCACTGGTCGAGAGTGAGCAATTCTTTTCATTATACTATACCCCGGTTAGGGCCTTGATTGCTATGCCTTTGATTCTCATTGTTTGAACGTTATTCATGATTGATTGGGATGCATGGGAAGACGGGACTTGTCATGTTTTGGTCTGTGAATAGTATAGGTGTCAAAACATGACCTGACCCGAGTAACCCGCCCAACCAACCCGATCCGCGACCCGCCCCAACCCGATTAGACTAAAAGTCAAAGACCGGCAACCCGCCCGACCCGTAACCCGCTTAACCCGCAACCCGCTTAACCCGTAACCCGCTTGACCCGAACCCGCTTGACCCGCAACCCGCTTGACCCTCAACCCGCTTGACCCGTAACCCGACTAACCCGAACCCGATTAACCCAACCCGAACCCGCCCGATTGGCAGGAATAATACTACATAATATATTTTTGTGCATAAATATTATATGTAGATAATATATATATAAATTTTATGTGACTTGCCCTATTATTTTTTTCATCTTTCCCACCAAGAACAAAGGTTTACTTTGTGTTGACAAATAAAAACTTTCATTTAATTGAATCACATAATAGTCTCACTGTCTCGGTAGATAAGTAGAAATCCTATGAGGGTTGTCAACATTTTTTACATTTGGTTGATGTATATAAATAATATATATAGATAACACATACATATGAAAAACATGATCGGCTTAATTAAGCCAGTCATATATCAGTACCTAATAATTACAACATTTTTCTTCCACACATAATATAACTGGTCACATAACATTGTCAAAATATTAACCTAAAATACGAAGATTCATAATAGTACATAAGTCATAACTCATACCCTAGCCCCAATAATAAGAAGATTCATAATAGTACATAAGTCATAACTCATACCCTAGCCCCAATAATAAGAAGATTCATAAAAGTTACGTATAAAATACTTACGGGTATTATACTAACATTCTTCACATATCATACGTAATAATTTATACTTTATACCAACAATTTCATAACACATAACTATATTTCATGGTTTAAGGTTAGTGTATAGGGTATACGGTAGTGGACTCGTGGTTTAGAGTTTGGAGTCATAAGACGTATGTTCTTCTCAATAACCGAATATAAAATTGACTCAACTTACATTCTTCACATAACATATGTTATAGCTTATACTAACAATTTCATAACATATAACTATAGTATAGGGTTAGGGTCTAGGGTTTATTCATGGTTATGCTTTATGTTGGATATTTTGATTTTTATAGTTTATTAATTAATTTGATTTTAACAATTAGTTTAACTTGTGAATGTACATCTTAAATATATCATATTCAAATGACATTCCGACCAACGAATCAAACAACAAACTAGTTAATCGGTATAAAATTTATCATCTATAATAATAAATATCAAAGAAAGGAAGAACTAGATGTTTATGGAAATTTTTTGAATGCAAAATTCAAAACCCCCAAATATTTGCTCAAAAATTCCCTTGCAAACCCATTTTTTTTAAAAATCCCTCCCATAAACCCCCTTGCCCCAATATTTGATCCAAAATTGAAAATTCCCTCCCACCTCCCCAATATTTGATCCAAAATTGAAATTCCCTCCCATCCCAAAATTGAAAATTCCCTCCCACCTCCCCCAATATTTGATCCAAAATTGAAATTCCCTCCCATCCCAAAATTGCAAATTCCCTCCCACCTCCTCCAATATTTTAATCAAGTGAGAAGGGAAATCCCTATCTCCGCCACCAGACTGTCTCCAATGGTTCTGTCCCCTCCGCTCCCTTGCCGTCTTCGTCGCCTCTAGGTTAGAAAGGACTGAAGACAGTCGAATCCCTACTTCCTTTCTTCTGCTCTCGGCATATAGGTTATGCACGTTTGTATTTTATATGCACAATTTCAATATAGTAATTGTGTGGTTTGTATATTGCAAATATTTAAGTAGTTAGTTAATATCATATATGTTATATTCCTTACAAATTATGTGAGATATACTAATTTAATATTATCGATTGAGGATAAGGCTAACTGTATAGGATATATGTTATTCAGTAAGTTATGATTGAAGTCACAATAATTTTACTAAATTTGATAGTTAATCTTTAGGACAATTCGAACATTTTTACAAATAACTCGTTTGGCAATAGTTTACTGAAGTTATTTGGGCAATGAGTTATTTCGAAATAACTCCTTTTATCACTATGCTTTTGCCAAATACCACAAACCAAATACCATATTTGCATGGTTATACTAAACAAGATACTTTAATCCAATTACTACTGAAATAATACTAAAATATCAAATAAACAATTAATGGTGTCTTTTGGTTGCAAATATTGATATCACCATTACTATTAGCTAGTGTACTTTACCAATTATGATTAATTACATAACAAGTTTGCAAGTCATACAAATTGATTTAACATTTTGACTAGTTTTTTTTAAATTAAGTATATATATACGACGTAGAATAAATTAGTTAAAAAGTTGAGAAAAATCTTTTAAATTAGTGTAATAAAATGTGTAAGTTGGTAACGAGTAATGAGTAAGTTGCTCGATGCGCTGGCCCGAACAACCCGAAACCCGATCCGCCCGCAACCCGCCCAACCCAAAACCCGATGAACCCGCAACCCGATTTGTCCGCAACCCGATTGAACCCAAACCCGATGAACCCGCAACCCGAATAACCCGCAACCCGTTTGAACCCGAACCCGATGAACCCGAACCCGATGAACCCGCAACCCGACTAACCCGCAACCCGTTTGAACCCGAACCCGATTGAACCCAGCCCGAACCCGCCCAAACCCGCCCGATTGACACCTATAGTGAATAGTAGTCCGATTTTTCCTTTGCATGGTTTTGCTGCAGTTGGGTGTCGTCTGAGTAGTCATTGAGGTTGTTGTTGCTATTGTTCATGTGTCAATGCCAGTCATTTTTGGAGATCACTATATTTGGTGCCATGTGTCGTGTCCCTAGAACTATTTTGATTGAAAAAGTTTGTAAGCTAGCCTTATGTCTAACTTGGTTTGCTTAGGGACAAGCAAAAGGTTAATTGTGGGGGGATTTGATGAGTCGATATTTACACATATTTTTGTCCACCATTCTTATACTATTTGAGGCTCGTTTTAAGCCGATTTTACGCTAGGTTGTTCTTGTTTATGACATTTCAGGTCCTAATGCGTGAATGAAGGTTTGAGAACGAGTTCGGAGTCGATTGGGCAAAGACGGGACGAGCGATAGAGAGCAGACGAGTTACACGGCCAGTCCGGGAAGACGCACGGCCATGCATGGTGGACGTGCAAGCGAAGATGCGCGGCCAGGGTGTGCACGGTTGTGCACGACTTATTTTCTGATCGTGATGAATTCAGCGAGAAGCTGCACGGCCAGGCTTTCGGATTGCATTGGCCATGCAATGGTCGTGCACTCCCCTCGCGGAACTAATTCAAACACTCTGTTTTTGTTGCACGGGCAGCCAAGGATGTTGCACGACCGTGCGGCCTGACCGTGTAATCGCGGGCAACTGCATTTTAACCCAATTTTTGGATTTGGGAGAGGAGAGCTGGGTTTTGGATCCCAAACACCTAGGGATGGCAATGAGTCAGGTTTCGGGTATCCAAGATTATCCAAGGGTAATAGTTTCTCTTTATAACTCCAACCAATATGTTAATATTCACACGTATTCTCACGTTACGTAAGAAGAAAATT